TTGTCACAAGCATATCTATGTGACACAAACATAAGCACTCATGTTTATTGACATGAGTCAATTCCGATATATCCTGTTCCAAAAGTCCTCTTTCCCAGAAAGCAGCTTCCATCTCAAGACTAAACTGGTGTGAGGAGAAAATCATAGCTTATTGGGGAGTGTGTGTCTGCTGAGAGTTCAAAGGGTAGGGAAAAGGGAAACAACTGAAAAAATAGTAAGGAAAGAGAAAGAAAAGAGAAAAAGAAAATCCAAAAACACAGGAAATGCATCCCCAATGCTACTAGCCCTCCTACTTCCCCCCCACCCCCTTTGGCTGCAAGGAACTCAGTGTCAGCAAGCTCTCATCCTCACCTTCTCCCCTAGCGTCTCTGCAGTAATGCCACCCAATGTATTCTGAGGCCTGGTTTTCCGACTCCCTAGGCCTTTCCTGACCCATAGTAGCCTAAGAATTACATCCTTGTCTGCTGAGACCTTTACGATGATGAATATCCTGTCTAAAGCCACCATCACTTCTGGTCAGCAAACTTAGGTTAGTCTGCTTTGCAAGATGGGGAGCAGTGTGATACGAGGCAATTGCCCAATGTCCAGGTCATTTGGCTTGCCTTTGAGGCAATTCTTTGAGATTTTGTTTATATTTCACTCAGTTTCGCCTGCTGTGAACTTAGCTATAGAACTTGCCTTTCACAGTATGCCTGGTTTGAGTCTTTTGTTTCCTCATGGATGATGCAAGGAGCAAGGCAGAACACAGGAGAGTTGATTCCATCACAGTCACTACATTTCCTGAAACCAGGGCATAGCCTGAGGGCATTTTCTTCTAGGACTGGAGGGTAAGAGTGTCCCCCCCCTCCCCACGGGTGTCAGTGCACCCGTTTGGTCACTCAGCCGTAAATAGTTGGGACAGTTCATCTGGTGTCTGGAAAAGTACCGCTCAAAAACAGGTGAATTGAAGAAAAAGGCTTTTACATTACTTCACCAAAGCTGGTTGTAGGTGGGAGCAGAAAGATTCATGTCGGCTTGAAGAGAAGGCTGGGTAAGAAGGTAGAAAATCTATGTCCTTTTTACAGCTTGTCCCCACAAGTCTCTTTAGCACAGTCTCAAAAAGAAAATGAAATCAATTGAAATTAATCCAGCCAAAGCCAAAAATGCACACAAAAGAAACCCTTTGTTGAACTTGTGTTGCACAAACCTACTGTTTGCCTGGGCTAAAGAAAAATGTGCTTTCTGATGGAGTTTGGACAATGAGAACATAGTTTCACACAATTTCTTATTTACAGAGATGGTACTCTCCCACATACATTGATACATGCTCCAAATCCATTGTGAATACATGCAAACCTGAATTAGCACACATTTCAACCAAACAATCAATGCTTGAGCACTTAGATGAACATGAGTGCTTATGTTCATGGGGAAACAAAGTTTAGGAAGAGAATTTGTCTTTTTAGCTGCCTGCATCTAAATAATACGATGCTCTTAGCAAACAAGGTAGACCAACCCTCCCTCTTTTTTTATTGTTTTTCTTTTCTTTACCCAAAAGTTTCAGCATCTGCATTCTTTACACATTTCTTCCATTTTTTCCCTTCTGTACAAAAAGCATCCAATCACCATTTACCAAATCTCTTAAAAGGCTCTCTCACACACAAAGCACCCCTTCAAGGAGTTCCTGCCAAATGCACCACCTTACATATGCTCATTCTCACATGGCACATACACCAAAACATTCTTATTATTTTTTAATCTAACCCCACATTTCAAACAACTGCATGTTCAACAGGGGGAGAAAACAAACCAGCCAAGGGAGACAAAAATATATTTATTAATGGCCAACTGCAATCTGTCTTCCCTTCTGATTATACAGTCTCCCCTATTGAACTCCAGCCTGCTACTGTTCAGACTAATTGCTCAACAAAAGCATTCAAATTTCCAAGACTTTACCAACAAACTTCCGAAAAATATAAAAGAAAACCTTTCCCTCTATCTTTGCCTTTTCCCCTTCCTTTTATTTCTCTCTGGGAATCCCTTCAAGATTGCCACTCTAAGAATTCTCAACAGAGTGTGTGTGTCAGTGTGTGTGTCTATCTTTTTCCATCTACCCATCTGCTTCCTCTCCTGGAATTTCAAATGCAATCATTTAGTTTAACAAGAAGGAAATCTTTCTACCTAGGAAGGCAGTTAGGCAGATGGAAGTGACTCAAAATTTGCAAGAAATTAAAACAGTGTTCCCACTTTCTGACAAAGGAAGGACCTATATAATTTTTTTCCTGTATAACCCCTCTTGCTCATGGGGCTCTCACACAGGGTAGGCTTATTGAAGCTGTCCAGAAAACTGGGTAGGATCTGTACTTGCAAGCCCAGCTCAAAGGGCCACACATTTCCTCCCTTCCCAGTTCTGACTTATTTTCATGGGATGGGGACGGAAAGAATCTCACACACACATGTCCTGATCACTGCTCTGTTCCCAGCTGGAGTCAGCCATGCTTGGGCTCAGGCCAATGACCTCATGAATCTGCTTCTCTGTCAAGGCCAGGTTCACAAACTGTCCTCTCAGGGGCAAGAATACCCATCCACACCCCTGCATTTAACCTTGCCCTGAACAGGACAGATTGGGGCGGCTGCGTGGGGGAGCTTCTATTCCCTGAGGAATCCCCGCCCCCAAACCCATTCTGAGCTTTGCCTACCTCCCAGAAAGGGGAACACTTTGAAACAGAAACAGACAAGACAGAACACACACACAAACAACAGTGGGCAGAAGACTTTCACAAACAATTAACAAAATTTTACATAAACCCCCAGTGCAAAGATGACCTGCACTCACGCATATATGGTTCCTGGTGCACCAGTTACAAGATCTTGCATGCAGATGTTAGCTAGCTTTTGTTTTCCCCTGGTCAGTCCAGATCAATAAATACCCAAATGCCCAGGAATGCTGTGCACCAGCCTCCTACACAAGAAGAGCTGCCATTTCCTGATCAAAGGGGCCTTTCAAGACTACCCAAAATCAGGATCCTACTGCAATTAATCTAGGCTAAAGCAGTTTAACTCACCTAACAAGCACTTCCGCGACACAACTCTATGCATTGCCCCAGATGTCCACTCCACCCTGCCACCTCATGTGGCAGTGAGCATGAGGGAACCTGTGACCCTGAAACCCCATCCTCTGGGTGTCTACAATATACCCATGTGCAATGGGCTTCTAAAGCCCAATCTATTACCTTTCCTCACTTACAAAATGATTGGGGTGGCCAGTATCTGTTCCCCAAAACTTTACGGGTGAATCGGCTGATCCTACCACCCCTCTCACCCAGGATAAAGGAAGAAAGAACCTGTGGAATCCTGTCCTGCCCTCGTTGCCATTTTGTCAGGACCTCATTACCAAACAGTGAGAATGAATCACTAGGGCCAACAGGGAAGATGGAATTGCCTGGAACCCCAGCAGTTTTTTTTTGAAAGATCACCCAGGCCCCTTGCAGTTACTTATGACAGCATGTGACTGGGTAGTGCTCTGCACTGCCAACTACAAGCTTTTAGAACATATACAGAGTATTTTATACTTTCTGAGTCACATGGGCCCAGCAGTTGGGCAGTTGATGATGAAACAAGGTGAACACAGTCAGAAGAAGGTGAGGAGTCTGCACAGGGGCTCAAAATACAATGGCATTTGATTGCAGGATATTAAAATAATGATCTGATCAAGTCTTGCCTGCAAATGAGGGTGATTGCAATGCTGTTCACCTGGCAGTCTGACCAGTACTTACTGCTCAGCAAAACAATAGTCCTGGCAGCTTCTTGGGGGAAACCATCAAGTCCTACTTCTTAAAGTAACAGCAAATGCCAAACAGCAACCTGGCTTGGAATGTTTGGGTGCTTCCTTGAGAAAGAGGGGTGCAGGCATTTTATAACACAAAGACACATCCCTTTTCTACCAGGATTTAGCTGCTGCTTCTGAACAGTCTTCAAGGGCAGTCCCAGATAGAGTGTGTTGCAGTAGTCTAACTTGAGGGTAACCAAATCATAAGGTACTGTACTTTCAACTGAACCTGGGAGAAGGCAGTCCATGCCACTGAACCCATCTGACCTCCAAGTCTCAAAGATGGATCAAGGAGCACTCCCAAGCTACTAACTTGCTCCTTCAGGGTGGCTGCCACCCCCTCCAAAACAGGCTGAGCACCCTTCATTCATTCAGAAGAACCATCCACTGATAGCAGCTCAGTCTTTTCTGGATTAAGCTTCAGCTTAATAACACTCACCAGTCCATTGCTGTGCTCAGTCACCAATCAAGTACATTCACAAAACCACCTGATGGAGACGATAAGCAGAAATAGAGCTGTGTGTCATCAGCATACTGGTGCCACACACCCCTAAATGCCTGACTACCCCACTCAGCAGTTTCGTGTAGATGTTAAATAGCATGGGGGACAGAACAGACCTTGGAGGAACTCCATGCTGGAGAATCCATGGTGTCAAGCAATATTCCCCAAGCACCAGCTTCTGGAGCAGGCTGCTCAAGTAAGAGTGGCACCTCTGCAATACTGTACTTCCCTCTCCCAACTAAGACAGTCACCTCAGAAAGATACTAGTGCTGATAGGGTCAAAACCCACTGAGAGATCTAGGAGTGCCAATAGGTCACACTCCTCCTGCCTTGCTCCTGACATTGACCATCATACAGTGTGACCAAAGGTGTTTCTGAGCCTGAACTACTGAAATGAGCCCAGATAATCAGTCTCATCCAAGAGCTTCTTGAAGTCTGGGAAGTGCTTAGCAAGTATTTACAGTGGGCCTAGAACCAGCCAGTAGGTAATAGGCTCTGGATAACCCAATCTATTTGCTTTGCTAGGCAGCAAATAGAATACCCAACATTCCTTCCAAAGAGAAGTTAAGACGCGTGAGGATGTGGTTGGATTACTTAATGCCTGACTAACAAGCAGCAGGAGAACTTGAGTGCCCAAGTTTTCTTTCAATTCCTCAATCTGCTGAGCAAATTGCAAAGAAATCCAGGGAGACAATGGGGCCAGTGGGTACCTACAAGCAGCAGCAAGACGAAGCATACCTGGTAGAGTCAGGAGCAGCCATGGCACAAACCGAAACAGGTAAATCAATGTCAGTTATTGATTCTGTTGGCCTTCGAGAGATGACAAATGTGATTTTTCCTTCTTTGGTCCAGCTTCTTTAAAGTTCATGTATGTATGGTCTTCAAAAAGTTTCCACACCTTTATATTTTATAAATATATTTGTATATATTTTTGCTGATGGCATTAAGAGATGGCTAGATGGAGGGGATGCAGTGGATGTGGTTTACTTGGATTTCAGCAAGGCCTTTGACAAAGTGCCTCATGATATCCTGGTTGAGAAACTTTGTTTTGGGATACACCAAAGTACTGTCCGATGGATTAGGGCACGGTTGAATGACCAAAAGCAGAGGGTAACCATTAGTGGGGAATCATCAGGATGGTGGCCAGTGACAAGAGGGGTCCCCCAGGGCTCTGTCCTGGGGCCAATCCTGTTTAATCTTTTCATCAATGACATGGAAGAAGGGGTGAACAGTCTGCTGATCAAATTCGCAGATGATACTAAAACTGGAGCAGTGGCCACAACTGAGGCGCAGGTACTCCAGATCCAAAAGGATCTGGACAGACTATGGAAGTGGGCAGGAGAAAACAGGATGGCGTTCAATATGGATAAGTGCAAGGTCTTGCACTTGGGACATAGGAATAGGTGTCATAAGTACAGGTTAGAGTACAAGTGGTTGGAGAGCAGCACTTGTGAAAGGGACCTTGGGGTACTGGTTAACTGCAGGCTAAACGTGAGTCAGCAGTGTGATGCGGTGGTCAAGAGGGTGAACGCCACCTTTGGTTGCATAGCCAGAAGTGTGGCTTCTAGATCGAGAGAGGTATTACTACCACTCTATACAACTCTGGTGTGCCCGCAATTGGAGTATTGTGTTCAGTTTTGGGCCCCTCATTACAGAAAGGATATAGCCAGGTTAGAGTCAGTGCAGCGTAGGGCCACAAGGTTGGTGGCTGGTTTGCAGGGGATGCCGTATGAGGCAAGACTGAGGGAACTGGTTCTCTTCAGCCTGGAGAAGAGGAGACTCAGAGGGGATCCATTGGCGACATACAGGTATGTGAGGGGATGTCACACGGAGGTGGGTAGAGACCTGTTCTCCCCTGCAGAGGAAGGCAGGATGCGCTCCAACAGAGCAAAGCTCAGAGAACCAAGGTTCCATTTGGATGCCAGGAAGCACTTCCTGATAGTTAGGACCTCGAGGGTATGGAATGGGCTTCCATGAGAGGTGGTTGAGGCCCTATCAGTGAGGGTGTTCAAAGATAGGCTGGACATGCACATGGTGGGCATGTAGTGAGTGGAGCCGGCTGGAGCTGGGGGTCAGACTAGAGCTGGCTGGAGCTGGGAGGGCCCTTCTGACTCACTCTGTTTCTATGTTTCTAAAATGGTGGTATGACACTGGGCAAAATGCATCACAGAGGAAGGTGACTATGTAGAAAAGTGATGCAATTTGTTTTTGAAATTCTTAATAGAGTTTTAAAAAGTACAGAAACTTTTTGAAGAACCTCATATATATCCATAGCAATGAAAACATATTTTACACACACACACAAATATGTGACTTTCTAGAATTAAAACATATACCACAGAAAGTGAACTAAATATCCAGTTAAGAATCCATTTGAGGATGGCATCTACATGCTACCCATTCAAATATTGAAAGAATGGTAAGGTCCTGAAACCATTGCAGGAGGTGAGCACTTTATACCTGCAATGTTGCAATGTGAGTTTTTAGGTGTCAAAGTACAGTAAATCCATTTGCACTGACAGTTTATTGATTTCCAAGATGTATGGGAATAATTGAAAAGGTGTGTATCAGCTAATAATTAAAAAGGGTTTCAATACAACATGTATCTGCATAATAACCTCCTTCCCAAAAGAAGCAACTGCAGGACATTGACAAAATGGGCATTTAAGGGAGGTAATAGCTGCATTACAAATTAGAGAATTCCTTTTAAAAGTAATATAGCATTGTCTATTATATATGAAACAAACATTTTTCTGAATAGAACACTGAAAGATCCATAAATGTGGCAGGTATAGCTGTCAAAGCAAGAATCCACTGATTAGGCAAAGGAGACAATCCAATTTCTGTTTAATTCCTGCTTATTACATACTCCACAGATTAATTGATTCATATTTAGAGACATGGATCATAGGACTCTTTGCTTGACCATCAGAGCAACAGAGGCTCTGATGCTTTAAAAGTGGCTGGGCCGATCCTAGCAAGACCAAGATAGCATTTGTAGAATAGTGTAGGGACTCTTCATGCAGTCCAAAGGTACTGCTCTCTTCTAGGGTTCAGCTCTAAAAGGAAATGGTTTTGCAAGCTGGAAGCAAGCTCTGGCTGTGCAGTGTTGATTGGTTGTTTGAGCAGGACATCACCAAGAGCTCTTCCTTTCTCCCCAGTCTTGCATTTTTCATACTGCTCTTTTTAAAAAATAATGAGGTGCTTAAAATTAATAAGGTGACAATAAGGTTTCATATGGTCCCGTGGCTAAGGGGATTTCTGAAAGAGTTCCTTTTCTGTCGTGTCTTTCTTCAGACATATAAAAAACCTATGTGCCCTCCCACCCCTTGAGATCTGAGGTGGAGGCCCTACTCTGGGAACCCTCCTTGAAGGAGATTAGGAGGGAGAGTACCTGAAGGAGGGCCTTCCCTGTGGTGACTATGGAATATGTTCCCCAGAGAGGTTCGCCTGGCACTGCTGTTATGTTCTTTTCAGCATCAGGCAAAACCCTTTTTATTTTCCTGTCATTTTAATGTTTAATTGATTTTAATTGGAGTTTTAGTATATTATGGTCGGATACTGTGGGGCTGTTCTAGTCTATTTATTTACTGTAAGCCATCCCAAGACGTTCTGTAGGGGATGGGATAGAAAAGCTTTTAATAAATAAATAAAGCACCAGTCTATCTTCTAGGAGCACTAGAGTGTTGTTGAAATTAGTAGGTAGAGCTTTTCTCCTGACTGGGAAGGGGGCTGATTTCAGATTAGGGATGTTGAGAAATTCACAACAGTTTCAAATGAGTTTGGTTTTCTGATAATCCAACTTGCAGATCCAGGGCTACCATTTTACAAGTCACAGGGATTTTTCAGGTCTTCAACTGTGGGACAGAATTCACACTCATTTGCACTGACTAATGTGCATTTGTGCAAGCGAATTAACACTCATGCCAAGTAGTGTAACTAGAACAACAAAGAATCTGATTCTTTCAAAAAGTGGACAAAAAGGATCAATTTATGAAGCATAGAATTGCTTTAGCAAAGTCTACATATTTTAGGACTACTAAACAAAAATATTGTATAAATCAGTGGTTCTCAACCACCGGTCCATGGACTGGTGCCGGTCCATGGGAGATGTCCTGCTGGTCCGTGGTGGGGGCCACATCCTGCTCACCGCAGATTCCTCAGTTGGCATTGCATTCATGGGGGATACACTGGTGCTGCCGGGGGGGGGGGGGCAGGGAGGGAGAGACAGCTCACAGCTCAGTGGGAGCCACTTTGTGCCAATTTTGGTATTTTGTTCTTTTGTTGGTCTTTTTTGTTGCTCAGTTTCTGGTTGTTTTGGAGAATTTTCTTTCTCTTTCTCTTTTTTTTTTTTTGTTTTTTTTTTTTGGTATTGTGTTTGGAAATTAATACACAAAATACTGTATTCTGTGTATGGTGCTTTTTGTTTCTGCCTCAGTGGTCCCTGAGGTAGTTTTTCTGTTTTCAATGGTCCCCAGCTATGGAAAGGTTGAAAACCAGTGGCATAAATACTCTTTCTTTTCTTCCTTCCTTAAGGAAGAAATAGTGTGAAAATGTGGAAAAGAAGCCAAGCCTCATCTGGAAGTACCTCAGGGCTGCAGTAAGGAAGGGAAATGCACCAGATCCAGAAAACTTCCATCCTTCCATGCCACTCCAAGCAGGGTGTGGATTTGGAGTTGAGAAACCAGGCATATTAAATATAGTAATCCATTTTAACATCCAGTACCATTTGCACCAGTTCTTCTAATTAGCTGTGACATTAGCATAATGGGAAACAGTGGAACCATTGCAGGGGGTAGGGTAGTCATGTGTCCTAACTTACAGGAGTCAGTTCTCTGTTTGAAGGACTGTCAGAAGACCATCCTCTGTCTGAAGGGCTGCTCAGTCCAAGTTGTACACATAGAGAGGAAACCCTAAATGTGGAGATCCCATTCAGCCCTGGAGTTTCCCAGCAGCAGAATACTGTGCAGATATGCAAGTCACCAGAGGAGCTTCCCCACTATTGTGACATGTGCTCTATTTCTACTTAAATGCTGTTATTGTATTTTTGGATTTTATCATGATGTAAGCTGCCCAGAGAGCCTATGACTAGTGAGGCAGCGTATAAAATGGAACAGACAGACAGACAGACAGACAGATAGATATTATAGTTTAAATTAAGATATTTCCGTACATTTGTGGTGTGTGTGTGTGAGAGAGAATGAGACAGAATTAGCATAGGAAAATCCGTATCCTCTTGTGTCCTTTCCCCTTTTAGAGTGGAAGCAGCAACCCTGGTTGGCAAGAAGACCAGGTAAGATTTCGGCAACATCATCTCATGACTTGTGGGATGCTCTGGTCAGGATGAGATCCAAAGGGAATGCTTGCCAGGCCAATGGGGTGGGGCAGGGAGATGGCCTCTTATCTTCTCTAGCTGCGCAATGCTCTGAAATACCAAAGGGCAATAGAAAGTGTGCAGAACCATCATTGCTTTGAGCATTGTGCAAGCCAGTTACATGAGTACATTTTCCCCTTTCTACCTTGTCAACCTATGTCCATGCGAATGAAAATTGTCAAAAAGGCTGGTGGTGAGGACTTTTTATGTTTGTAAAGACAATAAGATTGCTCCATCTTTTCTAGTTTCTTGACTTCCTTTTGCTCAGGAAGTAGGGATAAACCTATGCAGACTCTCTTCTTCCTAATCCAGGGCCCTCTCTCATATTTGCACAATTTGGTTATACTTAGTAATGCTAATTATTCACATTGAGTGTACAACCCAATGCATTTTGATGACAAAATGCACTCTCCAACACTCTGCTGAGCATGGAAGACTGAGGACAGCTTGGGCTGTAGGACTTTCTGCTGCCTAAATATCCATAGGGTTGAACCCTAGAAAGAATTTATTTTGGACTGATATTTGTTGCTGTAACACTGAGTACATAAAGCCCTGGAAATTCTGAGTAAACCTTTGTTCCAAAGCAAGGTTGATCCCTTTGTACACAAAACATTAAAACTGAAATCATTCCCCACTTTTAATGATGATCTCAGTACTACTTATACCGCAGTCTGTGCTTCTCCAGAGCCATTGGTATTTTTGATATTCTACTTCATGTAACTGTTTCCTCTATATCTTTACGAATTTGCTCAAAACAATATCCATTCTTCTCCAGCTTGGATTAAAATCCTGTGCAGGAGGAAAAGATGGGGCCATTATTATGCTCACCTTTATTTGGGATGAATAGGATGAGCAACAATCAGTGTTGTGTTTCTGAACCAGGAAATGTGGATCCGGTGACTTCTATACTCCATTGACAGTGGTCTTTGTATGGCGACTAGAAGAAAGGATTGGGGGTAAATACAGAGCTTCTCCGTCTCTCTGGCTGAGTTGTAAGACACTCAGCGCAGCCTTCAGGACTGCATCATATTTCCATACAGGCATGAAAAAAAGTGTTGAGCTATAAATTCGGCTCTCAGTAGCATGCAGAGAGCATGTGTGGTATGGGAGATCTGGGTACTTGGGAGATCAGGATACTAGTCCCCAATGAGCCAGGAAGCTCACTGGGTGACTTTCAGCCAGTCACAGTCTCTCAGCCTAGCCTCTCAGCCTAGCCTACTCAGTCTAGCTTACTTATTTATTTGTGCAGATGAAATAGCACTATGTAAGCTGGCTTGGGATTTTGCAGCAAGGACTACAGTGGAATAGAAATGCAATATAATAATCACAAAACATGACATAATGATAATATCGGCTACATGAGCTATCTACATTGTAGCAAGTACCGTAAAGTGATCCTAAGAACTACCTATGGTGTATTGTGTACATTCCATGCAAGATTCTACCATCTCTCTTTCTCTCTTTGGAAAGACAGATACCCATCCCAGTGGAATTAGTGCTTATTCAAATTAGGGCAAGAACAAAATTCTGGTTTTTAAAAAAGCTGATAATGAGTGGATAATGGAAGGAAAGATGTTTGGCAAAACACAGAAAATCCAAACTTCCCTGCTTGGGATGGAACTTTTAATGTAATGGCTTTGCTGTGTATGTGGATTTTCAGCACAAGCTTCTAACATTTCTCTTTCTCTCTTTGGAAAGATGCATACACACCCTGGTGGAAACAGAAGTCCTTTTTGGTGCTTTTCCCGCTGCTGGCACTCTCCTACCTGCTGATTGTTGTACTGTTTGGACTTGTGCTGTCCCTGGGTAATTATATTACCACCTGCTCTGAAATGCCTCATTAGCCTCAGGACAAGATAAGGGAGGGGATGCTTCTCACATTCCAAAAGTCCCTGGACTGCCAGTGGCTAGTGGTTGACCAGGACCCAGGAGCCCCTCTGGCTGTTCCAGGATCCAAGTTGATCCTTCTGGGGTCCCCACATGGCCACCCCCATTCCCCTGGCAGACAGTTGCAATGGACACGAAGAAGAAGCCTCCTTTAAGCTTATCTGCAGCCTTTTTGTCATGTCTAAACCCCTCAGATGATGTGTGTTGGTCTCTGCTCCTATGATTTTAGGATCCAGGCTTCCATCCCAAGTGACCAAGTTGCACAATCAGCTGCAGAGAAACATGGATTGTAAGTGTCTCTCCAATAGGTATTGGGGCATTTTGATCCTTTTTTCTGGGGAGGAGGGTGCAGACTGGGCTTCTGCAAGGAGCATATGTACCCGCAACCACTCTGCCCATGCCTGGCTTCAGAAAGCGACCCTTCGCTTCCCAAATGCTTGGCAGAGGGCAGCCTTGAAGTGCAGCACCTCAGCTCAAAGGTGAGGCACCACCATGGGTCAGCTGAAGTTTCAGGGCTTAGCATCCTGCTGCCCCATGGCCAGAGGTGTGCACATGTGGGGCCTTGGCATACACATGGCAATGGTGGGTGGCAGCTCAGGAGGACATTATTTGCAGCAGTGGACTGAGCCATCCACAAAGGAGAGTCAGATGCTGGCTAGAGAGAGATCCAGGTCCGTCTCCTGAGAATCCGATGCCGGCATCCGATCTACTCACTCGGGAACAAGGGCTGGTTGCTTCCTCTCAGACTGTCATTCAGCAAAGCTGTGGGGACACAAGCCCATTTCCTCATGCCCATGTCAGCAACGTTCCTTCAGTCTTTGCTCATCTCCAGGCTCCAGTTGGCCCCAAGGAACCTTCTGACCATAAGGGCCAAGCTGCCGTTATGGGAGAGGAACACCTTCTTCCCTTTTCATTCTTTCCACGCCATTCCTGAGGCTCTGGCACATCCCCCCTGAAGTCCTGTGCACCATGCAAGAAAACAGACCTTCACGCTTTCCTTATGCATAGCTGGACCACCACATCCCTTGGGACACCTGAACACGATGAACAGTTGACTGGAGCCTCTGTCAAGAAGGGCTCCCGAAAGAATTTTACCCACCAGAGGCAGAAGCTGCAGTAGCCTCTCAAAGACCCCCTCCTTTTCCTTTAACTTTTTTTCTCTCTCTCTCTCATCAGTCTACCCATGTGGTTCCAGAAGCAGGGAATGGGAATACTTCGATGGACGATGCTACTACTTTGGCATCGAGGCAGTGCCTTGGCACACAGCTAAATCCCATTGTGAGGAACGGAACTCAAAACTGGTCGTCATTCAGGATGAACCGGAACAGGTGAGGTGTCTGGAAGGAAGCATGTTGGCGTGTGGTGGAGGGTGGGGCACTCTAAATATTGCCCATAAATTTGTGCATACAGGCATGAAGTGTCTTTGACCTAAGATGACTTACAATGAAAAAATCAAAATTTGTTCAGCAATGAAACACTTCAACAATGAATTATAGCCTCTGGAGCATCACTAACAGCAGAGGTGCAGCAGGAGTGGATGTTAAAAAGAGAGCACAGAGCAAAGCTACTGCAAAACTATGCAGAACAAAACCATTTTGACAGACTGCATAGCAGGGGGCAGAGAACTCAGTTCAGCTCAGCCCAGGGGGTTTCCTCAGAGGCAGGTGACCCTTCCATTCATTCTGGCCAAGAACTTATGTGTGATTTTGGACAGCATGTGTGCCAAAGCATGACCACCCCATCTGCTGTTCTCCCCTCTTTTTTGGCCTGCAGAATTTCATCCAGTCACAAACCAAAGGTGAGCGCTACTGGATCGGACTCAGTGATGTGAACGTTGAAGGGGAGTGGAAATGGATTGATGACACTGATTACAGAACCAGCTACAAGTAAGAGAGGCCTATGAACAGGGGACACTTCAAGCCAAAGGCAGGCATCTGCCATCCATCTGTAGGTGCATGACAGACTTTCTGGCTGCCATTCAGGAGAGGCAGTGAAACCAGGCCCCTCATGCAGTCCCTGTCAGAAACAGAGTAAGCACCCCAATTTAACCCAAATGCAGGGACACCATTTCCACCACACCAACATATAGTTTGGGTTCACACCATACACTATGCAGTTCTCTATGTTTGCCATTGTTCATGTTTTGTACCTGACAAACAGTCAAGCAGTTTCTACATTATCATGGTTTTCATCCTCCCCACTCCGTCCTTCTGCTGCTGGTGTATATCTCAGCATCACTACACTTGAAATCTTACCTCAAACTGCAGTGCTCTTCCTTAATTGTACACTTATAGAGGTTTGATGGCTGAACTGACACCCACAGTCACTTTTCTTTTCAGGGAATTATGTGGTAATGGCATACCAGGACTATGGAAGCCATGGTTCTGCATTCAGACAATGGAAGCCATGGTGGCACAGAGAAACCATAGAATGAACCATTCTTTCATGTTGTGGTTTCTAAAAAACACAGCAGGGTTACAGATCAGCACTGCAAGGTCAGGTTCCTCCTTCAAGCAATCTTTTGCCACAGACCCTTTTCCTTGTAAAACTTTATTTATTGCTCCCAAGTACGTATCACCAAAAAAAGAAGTTCAATCTAATGTTTACCTCCAATAACTCTCCTTATGAACATTTCTGGGCCCCATCCTATGGGAAGGGGCTTTCTGAAGGTGGCCATGCTCACACTCTGTGCTCTGCTCATCTGGATGAGACTCTTGCCTCCGCTGACACCTCACCATGGGGCTGAGAGCCAGAACACAGGTCTGCATCACATCCTCAGAGATCCCTCTCACTGGCTGTACATTTTGGTCATTCCCAGGAACTGCTTGTCTGACCTTGAAATGATAATCTCAGCCTCCTTCATCTCAGCATCTTGACCTAGCCCATTCTCTACAATCCCACTAAAATTTGTTTCGCATACCAATTCTGAGAAGGGGCATGTGAAGTAGGAGGCAGTGAAAATGATGTCTGTGAAGCCATCAACATTCTTCTTCTTCTTTTCATTAATGGTGGAGCATTTCCATATGCATTCCATTCATTTTTTTATACCAATGAGTCCTCTGCTCCACCCCATTTTCAAAGATTAAAATGCTTCCCCTAGCATTGTTCCTCTAGCCAGAGCTTCAAGCTATAATCTGCTGGTATTTCAGGTCCTGCCCCCTTTTTGGTCTTGAGCTCCAGTCCCCATGAGGATCTATCCTCTTGTTGTTGTTAGTCATGAAGTCGTGTCCAACCCCATGGACAACATTCCTCCAGGCCTTCCTGTCCTCCACCATCCCCCGGAGTCCACTCAAGCTCACACCAACTGCTTCAGTGATTCCATCTAGCCACCTCATCCTCTGCCGTCCCCTTCTTCTTTTGCCATCTATTGTTCCCAGTGTTAGGCTCTTCTACAGGGAGTCCTTCCTTCTCATTAGGTGGCCAAAGTAATTGAGTTTATCTATCCTCTGAGACCTTCTCCAAAATGGAATGGGGTCCCTGGGCAGGAAGAGATTCGATCCTCCCACTGTAGGGGATTGGCTGGCTGTGCTTGAGGACAGAAGGGAATGTGGTTGGAGGGACAGGTGATCCCTTGTTCAGTATTCCCGGGCATGACTTGGTTGCCCTTCTCATTTAGGAATTGGAAGAGTGGTGAGCCCAATGACCATGGTGATCACGGAGAAGACTGTGCCCAGGTTTCTTCTGCGGGGCAATGGAATGACCTGCGCTGTAATACTGCAAGCTTCTATGTGTGTGAGAAACCTTTGCCTTCCTGAAGGAACATAACTGGAAGAGAGGGAGAAGAACCTCCTTGCAAACACAAGCTTTGTTCTCCAGAGGTCACAAACTTCTTCATCCAGCTGATTAGAATGCAAGGAATAATACACAACTGGAATAATGCTATAGTTGATGATGATGATGATGATGATGATGATGATGATGATGATGATGATAACCACCACCACCACCACCTCTGATTGTAAGAGAAAGCCATCAGGAATTTTCCACTCCCCCTGGCCCAGAGTCTCCCTGGTCCCAAAACCAGTCACTGGATTCAGCACATGACAAACCCAGGCTTGGGGAACAAGGCAAGTTTATTAAAAGGATAATATATAGGGTTGGAGGGACTAAAGCAGAGTCTAAAAGGATAATACCAGGTAAAAGAGGGAAAAGAGGGGGAAAGAGGGATTGGACAGCAGCAGCAAGATAGGTTACAAGCAGTCATGCAACCTCAACTCTGAGGGCCTTGTTGGCCCACCCAGACAGAGAAAATAACCAAGTATTTCCAACCTAGCCTATGCACAGTAACTCTACCTTCTACTGGCAGCGTACACAGGATGCCACAATGCTCTTCTGAAGGGAGAACTGGCAGCCATCGGAACCTCTGGAGAAAGGAACAAAAGGATGCTCTTTTCCTCGGGCTCCATCCCCTCCACCCCAGCTTCAGTCAGCTGACTCAAGGGGTGATGGCCATCCCCCAGTCCCTGGGCTCAGCCATGTACTCCAGGTGTCAGTTGTTAGCCAGCCATTACTGTTATCTTCAGCATCCTTGAGGCCTGAACTCTGATGGTTCTCACCCACGTGACACAAAGGGAGAATGATGCCAGCTAAGCTAGTACCTGGTTTTTCTAGACTTCTCTCAATTCCATGATTACCCCTTCCATTGCCCTCTAGAGCCTTAAAATCCAGTTCACATTACACTGATGGCATTCCTAAGCAATTAGAAAAGAATACTGTCCCTGAAGAAGCATTTGTGATAAGCCATCTCTGGGCTGGGTGGGTCCATTGACTTCACCAAGTCTTTTTTTTTTACATTGGTGAAATCAACATGCATTCACATTTCTAAGGCTCTGTGTCTGGTGAAGTGGCAGCCTTTAACTCCTCTCTCTCTTCCTCTCTGAATAAGCCCATCTACAGATGTCTGTTAAAGTTTAAGTCTTGTCTTTTCTCTAGTTAGTCTGCAATATGTGGGAAACCCTCTCTGACTACACAAAGAGTAAACAGAGTGGCATAGCAAATACACTGTATACCGGTTCAGAGGGATTTTAATCTGCTGCTATGCAATCTACTCCAGAGCAAGCCTTGGATGGAAAAAGAGGTATCAGCAGAGGTGAGCCTAGGTCCAAAGCAAGTCATGCGAATCAGCCTTGCAGATGCATCCCATATGCATCCAGATGTCCATCCAGCATTACCTGGTCTAACCTGGGCTGATGCTTAAAAGATTAGGGACCCATGCCAATAAGACACATAGCTGCATAAAATTTGCCTCTTCTCAATTATGTGTGCAGATTTAGAAGTAATTGCTAGGTTTGATTTAAGTCTGACAAGAGGAAAAGCCAGACAATTAATTTCTCATTTTAATCACCTAAAATAGAATTTATCTTTTTTTTTTTTTTTGCATCCCTCCATATGATCTCAAATTAACAATTAACATTTACTTTGCAACCTCTTTCTGTTCTATGCCACTTCTCTCTCCACATCTTTCTTCTCTCCCTGTCCATGGCTACCATGTCATGCTACTGAGAGGAAGTGTGGTGCAGCGGTTAAGAGGGCCGAACTGGAACTCAGACGATCAGGGTTCTACTCCTCATTCAGCCATTGAGCCAGCTGAGTTGGGCCAGTCACAGACTCTCGGCCCAACCTACCTCAAAGGGTTGTTGTTGTGGAGATAAGATTAGAGAAGAAGGGGAAAGATGTAATTTGCCATGGATTCTATGGAAGGAAAAAAGATGGTATTTAAATCTAATAAATAAAATGCTTAGTTGTTGTTAGTCATGAAGTCGTGTCCGACCCATTGCAACCCCATGGACAACATTCCTCCAGGCCTTCCTGTCCTCCACCATCCCCCAGAGTCCACTTAAGCTCACACCAACTGCTTCAGTGACTCCATCTAGCCACCTCATTCTCTGTCATCCCCTTCTTCTTTTGCCATCTATTGCTCCCAGCATTAGGCTCTTCTCCAGGGAGTCCTTCCTTCTCATGAGGTGGCCAAAGTATTTGAGTTTCATCTTCAGCATCTGGCCTTCTAAAGAGTAGTCAGAGTTGATCTCCCCTAAGACTGACTGGTTTGATCGCCTTGCTGCCCAAGGGACTCGCAGGAGTCTCCTCCACAATTCAAAGGCCTCAATCTTTCGGTGCTCAGCCTTCCTTATGCTCCAACTTTCACAGCCATACATTGCAACTGGGAAAACCATAGCCTTGACTATACACACTGTTCTTGGCAGGGTGATGTCTCTGCTTTTTAGTATGCTGTCTAGATTTGCCATAGCTTTCATCCCCAGGAGCAAGCGTCTTTTAATTTCTTGGCTGCAGTCCCCGTCTGCAGTGATCTTGGAGCCCAGGAAAATAAAATCAGTCACTACCTCCATTTCTTCCCCATCTATTTGCCAGGAAGTGAGAGGACTGGATGCCATGATCTTAGTTTTCTTAATGTTGAGTTTCAAGCCAACTTTTGCGCTCTCCTTCACCCGCATCAAGAGGCTCTTTAGTTCCTCTTCACTTTCTGCCTTTAGAGTGGTATCATCTGCATATCTGAGGTTGTTGATATTTCTCCCAGCAATCTTAATTCCAACTGATGATTCATCTAGCCCTGCCTTTCTCATGATGTGCTCTGCATATAAGTTAAATAGGCAGGGCAACAGTATACAGCCTTGCCAAACTCCTTTCTCAATTTTGAACCAATCAGTGATTCTGTGTCCAGTTCCCACTGTTGCTTCTTGACCTGCATATAGGTTTTTCAAGAGACAAATAAGATGGTCTGGTACTCCCATCTCTTTAAGAACTTGCCACAATTTGTTGTGATCCACACAATCAAAGGCTTTAGCATAGTCAATGAAGCAGAAGTAGATGTTTTTCTGGAACTCCGTAGCTTTCTCCATGATCCAGCATATGTTGGCAATTTGATCTCTAGTTCCTCTCCCTCTTTGAAACCCTGCCTTTACTTCTGGTAGTTCTTGGTCCACATACTGCTGGAGCCTAGCTTGTAGGATTTTGAGCACAACTTTGCTAGCATGTGAAATGAGTGCAATGGTGCGGTAGTTTGAACATTCTTTGGCATTGCCCTTCTTTGGGATCGGAATGTAAACTGACCTTTTCCAATCCTGTGGCCACTGTTGAGTTTTCCAAGTTTGCTGGAATATTGAGTGTAGCACTTTTACTGCATCGTCTTTTAAGATTTTGAATAGCTCAGCTGGAATACTGTCACCTTCACTAGCTTTGTTGTTGCTCAGACTTCCTAAGGCCCATTTGACTTCACATTCCAGGATGTCTGGCCCAAGGTCAGTGACCACCCCATCGTGGTTATCAGGGATGTTAAGCTCTTTCTTGTATAGTTCCTCTGTGTAATCTTGCCACCTCTTCTTAATCTCTTCTGCCTCTGTTAGGTCCCTGCCATTTTGGCCCTTTATCATGCCCATCTTTGCATGAAAGGTTCCCTTCATATCTCCAATTTTCTTGAAGAGATCTCTGGTCCTCCCTATTCTATTGTAGTCTTCTATTTCTTTGCACTGTTCATTTAAGAAGGCACTCTTATCTCTTTTAGCTATTCCCTGGAATTCTGCATTCAGTTGGGTGTATCTTTCCTTTTCTCCCTTGCCTTTCGCTTCCCTTCTTTCCTCAGCTATTTGTAAATAAAATGCTATTGAGCTGTTAAAAACTTCCCAACGGCATCAATGGCCGCTCTGGACATCAGGGAGGACGTCCTGCAACCAGGAAAATACATTCAGAGTCATAGACCCAGGCCCTGAGTGAGCAAAACCTATTCCAAACGAAGAGAGGTACAAAATGCAACAAGCAAGGAGAGGAATTTGTTGTGCATAACTTAACAGAGATTGTGATTGTTGGCACTCGAGAGGGATAGCAGTGCCGAGTGCTTGTTGTTGAGCCTTCTGCTACTGATACAGTTGAATTAACCTGGTGCCACAGTTGGAGAGGGGATGTTTGGAAGGTGTTGTGTCTGTGTTTCCCCCCAGTTATGGACTCTCAATCATAGCTTCAGCTGGATAGATGTCCAGGGTATAAAATAGGCCCACAGCTAACTAGCCCCCCTTTCCCTTTCACAAGTGCTTATTCTGTGGGGAACTTGGGTGACCTGGGTTCAAATGGTTGTGGGACTCTGTGAGTGTGGGGGAATATCAGGGCCTACTTCACCACCACAACCCAGTTCTAGGAAAGTGGGAGTTGGGAAAACAGTGGCCAGCTTCTTAGAAGAAAACAAAAGATCAGAAGTTGGGTTTTTCTTTCTCAGTGTGGAAAAGAACAACTCAGATGCTTAATTAACTTAAATATTTAAATAGAAGCATATTTAATTATGCTTCTGGTGACCTGGGCCTGGGAACTCTCGTTCCTGGGTGTTGGTGCTCTTGCTGGAGACTGTTGTGGGGTGGGATGGAGGGTCCCTTTTTTAAGATGTTCTTTCTCTGTGTGTATTTTTATATGTCTGCTCAATGTGGGGCTCTCCAAGTCCACCAAGAGTTCTGTTTTGTGTGTGAATAATGCAGTCTGGCTACATGGAGATCAATGCAGAGGGGATGAGTCACAGGTCAAGAACAAAACTGCATGTTAAGGAAACCATGAAGCATAGAGATTTGTTCACGGGTGTTTTCATACAAAAGTTGCACACACACACACATGTGTGGAGGGAGGGAAGGAGAGACTGAGTCAGCATTTTGCCCAACTTTCTAATTTTGGAAGAATTTCTAATGAAACAATTGTGAGGAGGAAACAAACACAAGAATCATTAAGTGACCTGGACACAGCTGTCCATCAATATCATCATCATCATCATCATCATCATCATCATCATCATCACCAAGGTTGATGTGGTGTTTGTCATAGCAGTCTGCCCTTGTCTGGCTGACTTCTCTTTAACCAATACCTGGCGCAGGGTGAAGCCAGGACAAGGCATAGTGGGTGGGTGAGGGAGTTAACCAGATTGCCCCATCTTTTTCGCAATGGAGAGAAAAGTCCTATTTGGTCTCCAAAGTGTGGGAAGTGAAACAATTATTGCTATTATCGTTGTTGTTGTGCCATTGCATTTACTCCCAGCCTCTTGTGAAGAACCCAAGACAGCTTATTTTGTTGTTTAGTCACAAAGTTGTGCCCAGCCCATCAAGACCCCATGGACAACATTCCTCCAGGCTCTTCTGTCCTCCACCATCCCTCAGAGTCCACCCAAGCTCACACCCACTGCCCCAGTGACTCCATCCAGCCACCTCATCCTCTGCCATCCCCTTCTCCTTTTGCTGTCAATCATTCCCAGCATCAGGGTCTTCTCCAATGAGTTGTTCCTTCCCATTAGGTGACCAAAGTATTTAGTTTATTTAGCTCCTTTTTTATTCTCACAAAAACAGCCCTTAGAGGTAGGTCAGGGCTGAGAGTGGGTGACTGGCCCTAAGCCAACCAGTGAACTTTATGGCTGAGTGGGGACTTGAACCCAGATCTCCCAGTTCTCCAGTCCAACACTAACCTCCCTGCCACGCTAGCTGTCTGTATGAGGCTTGGTTTTTGAAGCAGGCATAGGCCTTTCTGGATGATTTGCATGTAGGTGAAGCAGTATTATGTGCCACTTTAGTCTGGCAAAGTGGAAAGTCACAGGCTTCTGAGAAACAGAAAGACAAGGGGGTTCTTGAAAGACAGGATTGTGTACATGTCCTCTCCAGGGAACACTGACTTCACTAGGAAACATGGTTGTTGGGTCTTCATCATAAGGTCAGTTTGGATGGGCTACTTAACATCTCTGTTTATCACTTAGTTCCTGTTTGTTTCAATCTGCCTGCATAACTACTCCAGAACAGTAGGAAAATGTTGATGTAGCAGAAGCAGATACTGGAAACACAGGCAATGACCAGAGTATGGGTTAGGTAAGCAATCATCTGTTTCAGGCAAATTTTCTAAACTCACACCCTCAAAAGGGCTATTTTTGGCCACGAAAATGAAACGAGAAGCATTTTCAGCACAATCCAAATTCAATTCCTTTCCTGTCACAAGACAAGCTTCCTCCTTCAAACTATCACCAGCCACAGACTGTTTTCCTTGCAAACTTGTTTTATTGTTCCCAAGAACAAATGGATCTCTGAGCACGCACGGAGTGCTTTGTTGAACCCAATCTAGAGTTTACCTTCAGGAACTCTCCTTATGAACACCCCTGGGCCTCATCTCCTTAGGAGGGGATTTCTGTAAGCTTGCACATCCCCGCTCTGCAAGAAGCTCACTCAGTTGGGCCTCCCATCTCTGTTGATGCCTCACCATGAGGTCAAGAGTGGGATGAGGGTGGCTGGACTGCATCTGAGAATTCCTCATCCTCAGAGACCCTTCCCACTGGCTGTACCTCTTGGCTATTCCCAGAAACTGCCTGGCTCAGCAAAGTGCCTGGCCTTGAGATAATCACCTCTGCCTCCTTCATCTCAGAATCTTGACCTAGCCCATCCTCCACAATCCCACTGTAATCTGCTCCATACTCCAATTCCAAATCATCTGGGATGCAGCCAGCAATCCATGAGAACAGTTGCCTAAGATCACCATCCTTCTCACATCCTACTCTTGGCTGTACAGTCAGTGTTAGGCTGCAGCACCTTTCTCCTATTCTCCAGTGACTTTTAACTGGATTAAGCCCAAACAACCTCAATTGCCACTTAGTGGACAGAGATTAAAATTAGTGCTGCCTATGGGAGGTTTTTAG